TTACAGATTGAAATTGACATAGAGCCTACAGACAAGGTATGTTGAAGTGTTCATTATATATTTCTATAATAATTTTCCTTCAGTATATGCTTTGATAATAATATTCCTAAATGCTGAATTTATGTAATGTGTGCATTTGAAGTGAAGGGATTTTAGTGTAAAAGAACAAAAAGTAAGCTACTAACAGTATAGAGCCTGGTCAGACAGTGAGACTGCACAAAATTGTAGGCTTGTCTGGATCAATACTGGTTGAATTATATTGGTGGAGCTGTATCCGTAGATCTGGTGCATATATACCCCAGTGGATCTATACTGGGTGCATTTATACTGCTTGATCAATACTGGTTGATCTACACTGGCATTCTATACTAGTTTATCTATAGTTGTTGATCTTTACTAGTAGATCTATACTGGTAGATCTATACTGGTGGATCTATACTGGTAGATCTATACTGGTAGATCTTTAATGGTAGATCTACACTGGTAGATCTTTACTGTTAGATCTATACTGGTGGATCTTTACTAGTAGATCATTACTGGTAGATCTTTACTAGTAGATCTTTACTGGTGGATCTTAAATCTGGTAAAAATGTAGATCTATACTGATGGATCTTTACTGGTAGATCTACCCAAGTGGATCAATTCATTACCATAACCAGCATATCAAATAATTATGTCAAACTGGTTCAATGAATGAATAATTACACATACTTGTAGTCCTAAGGCTTTTTTGAGGGGAAAAAACACATAAAATTATGTATTTTGCACTTGCAGGTTGAACGAATCAAGGAGAGAGTAGAAGAAAAAGAGGGAATTCCCCCACCTCAACAGAGGCTTATCTTTAGTGGAAAACAAATGTTAGTACCTGTGTATTAAAATTCTCAATTGAAAAATGTTTTTTCAAAGGATCTTATTTTAGATGTATCATTCTGCATTTGAATTTACTGATCTGACAGAACATGACATTGACATTCTTTTGAAAATGGAAGCTTAGCAGTTACTTAGCAAAAAATTACTAGCTCTGTTTTTAAGTAAGATTGACAACATCTTCACTGATTATAACAACTTTTAATTTTCACACATATCTGAAGGCCTAAATGCTGCTTTAAAGTTGTTGTTTTTTATACTTTTCCCCATAGCTTTTTACTAACTTATTTTAGTGTACCTGTTTAGCTCAAAAGGGAGAACTTTTAGGTTTGTTATCCAAGGATTGTAGGTTTTATACAAGGGCAAGGCAAAGTTTCTCTACTGAATCAGAAATCATGTGGTATTAGAAGTTGATCACTTGCTAAGAAATGGGTTATTACTGGTAAATTATCCAAGAAACTCGATTTGGTGGATCGACTGATGAGATATGACCAAAAATGTGTAAAATTTAGCGTAAAAAACAGACAGACAAAAACTACAGCTTTGTATTGCTACAATTTGCATTTTTTTTACAGGAATGATGAAAAGACAGCACAAGACTACAAAGTTACTGGTGGTTCAGTGTTGCATCTTGTGTTAGCCCTTCGAGGTGGTGTATGATGTTAACTAGTGTATAAACAAAACATTGTAGATAAATAAATTTTGTTGTTGACTGTATGCTGCATTGGATCACGCATCAATTCTGCCCTGTTCGCCGCAGTATGCGGACATTAAGGATATGTAATAATGTATTTGTTTCTGCTTTTATATTTCTAAAATGTTCAAATTGCAACAGGCATAGGCAATAATTTTTTTTCCCCCTAAAGAAAGACTTTAGAAAAGCAAATGACAAAAGTATGTCACCTGATTATAGTAAGTTTCTTAAATTCGAAGGTTCAGAATGTTGATACATAAATGGATATTGTTGTTATGTTAAGTATATGAATTCCAAATATCATTGATGTTTATAGCTGAAATTGATATTTTATCTTACAAAAGTTACGTCTTTGAAAAAAAATTATTTTAACAATACTAAGTGAACCAAAAAAAATCTACGAATGTCCTTAATTTTACACGTATTTGATATTATGTTGTTATTAGTTGTTATTTCAGAAGCAGAAAAGATGGAGATTTATAATTAAAATCACATTGTGAAAATTTATGTATGAGTAAAATATACTGTGTTATTTTGGAGACTTTGTTTATTACTAGTTGATTAGGTATCATTTATGAAAACAAGTGTTCTTTTTTGTATGTATTGCATTGAATGTGAAACTTGATATGCCCTAGTGGTATGTAAAATTGCCGGTTATTGCAGATTTTATTGTGTGGTACTTTTGTCGAAATAATAAACAGCTTTTAAATTGCCCGGAAGTACATAGCCACCGACAGCTTTCAGATATTCACTGGTTTATAACAAATTAGAGAGAGAGAGAGCAGTGAAATTGGTTGCAATATGCTTTTTATTTGACCTTTACTCTTTTTCTAGACTGTGTTACAATATTTAGTAATAAATTACTGCATTTAAAAAATTGTTTTCTCCAAGTATATAAAGTTAAAAAAAATTGACAAATTACTTATTGATTATTGTACTTTTTCTGTAAAGATTGTTTAAGTTGGGCATCATGTAGCAAAAAACTTATGTTTAGAAAAAAAAATTTTGTTTTTTACCAATCTACAAGGGGGGTATTATTTTAAAAAAAGGGGCCGTTTTTAAATTCCCAATAACAAAAAATAAATATTCTAATTCATTTACAGAAAATATGCAATTTTAAAAAACACTCTTTAAAAGAAAAGTATTGTGATTCTTTTAAATTTAAATTGGTTGGGAAATTTTTTCCCCTTTTTCCCAACTTCAAGACTTTTATATAAATTTGGACACAATTGATAAACAAACTTTTTTCAGGCCCAAATTTAAAAACAGTACTGTGTTTAAATTTATAATTTGCTATTGTTTACTTTTGAAAGGTTTGATGTTTTGGTTTAGCCCAACATTTATTTGTAAATGCGTGTTTCTAAAGGGCTTATTTAAATTTACATTTAAAAAAGGGATTAAAATTTATGGGCGTGTTTTTATATGTGGGCCAGTACCCCCATAAACTTTTCCCCGGGTTTTATTCCTTTCAGAGACCAAAAAAATTTTAAGGAAAATCAAAAATTGGAAGGAAAAAGTGTACTCGGGGTTTTAAAAAAGTAAAAAGATTCAAGTGATAATTTACATGTTAGGGACTATGAATGACCTGCTTTAACAGGTGAATTTACTAACTAGAATAAAAATGTTTCCTCTGCCAAAAAGGAAGTAATTGTTAAACATTTGTTTTTTTAATAGGGTGCCAAGGAACTTTTAAATCACATACAATTACCATAACTAACCAAAAAAGCAGTTGTTTCAGCAATATAGAACCGATAAATATATTTCATTTGAGAATGATAATTACTTGAGCTTAAGTAACAAATTATTCAAGTCATATTGCCAGTGCAGTAGGGTATAAACCTGTCAACTACTTAGTAGGGTGGGGAATATAGATTTGCCCTTGTCCATCTGTCATACTGTAGACCGACAAAACAGTGGAATGTGGGGACATACATGTACTATGGACACATTTCTAGTTGTTATGACTTTACCTGCTTTCAATTGGTAACATAAGGGATTTCAACTTCAAAATACAAGTACTATGTGCAGAAGAATGCCATGCTCCTATGGTGACCTTTGACCATCAAAATCTTGTGGATAGTGCATTATGAGGCATACACATGTTAAGATGAAAGTACTTTCATTTTATGGCCAAGGTTAATATTTGCAATTTTCGGTTACATGGAAGCAGGTTTACTTTTGGCTAATTTGGGTCATGGATAACATTTGAACCCAATACCTCTATATGTAAGTGGCTGGTATAACTCATTATCTTCTAATAGTCCAAATTGGCATGTGATGAAACAACCAAAATCTGAAGAGCTATAGGCCGCCTGCAGATTTGCGTAAACAACTATCAATGTATGGAGATAGTGAATATAAAACAGTTATTATGTTCCATGGTTTTGTTTTTGCTAAGAAACTACATGATTGTATTGTAAACTTTAGCAGGTCCCCTTTATGTGAATTCAACTAGATTCTTGCAGCAATTTAAATAGATGATAGATGTGCAGACAGTTTTCACTTACATTCCAGTTGCTTTTTAGTCGATATAAGAATGTTTATACTTTGTTTCATTTCGTATAAAAGCAGCACAAGTATAGAATAGATACGGTAACATCATTACCTGCTTTATTTGAGGCGGAAGACCTTTTGCTCTCATCTGTGTGCAATTGGGCACCAAAGTTAAACATGATCTTTCAAAGGTAAGCTAGATAGCTTCCACACATGAATCAGAAGTTCAGTTTTGGGTTAAACTTATATGATGATATCATGAGCACCTGATATAAAGTATTTGCCTGCTTAGCTAAATAGGAAGAGCATCAAACTTCTAATCCAGGGAAAGCTGGTTCATTATCCTCGGGTTAGGCGATATTACTGTGTAGTTTATCAACGACATGGAGTATACAGGTCATTTGTCTCTCAATGCTGATGTAGAAATCATGTTAGTTATTCAGGAAAGCTTGTTAGGTTGATTGACACCAATATTTGATTGTAAAATGTGTTTGTATTGATGTAAAATATAACTGAAACAAACCAGCAGTGATATAAATCAAGTAACCGTAAATATTTGGTCACTGAAGCCCCTAAAATATGAATTAGTCAATTGTTGCATGTACAAAGAAAAACATGTGTTCTCCTGTTCTTTTATTCATTGAAAAACATGGTATAATGTAGAAATTTTTTTTTGAATAAATAATGTACAAAATAATGACACAATTAAGAATTATTTTGTTACAAATTTGACAAATAGTAAAGCCTTACCACAACAAAAGACCAGATAATTTTTATATGCATCTGACTACTTATTTAGAATAATAGGAAACTTTGATCAATAGAAATTCTTTGTATCAATGTATATTCTTTTATAATTTATACACAGTTTAATAGGAAAAAAACCAAACTATAATTTTTCAATACAAGTCTTTTAATGTAGAATTTCTCTTGGAATTCTAATCCTGTAAGTTAATAAAAGTAAAAATCAATTCATTTTGTACGGAATTATCTCTTGAACACCTAGTTAATTAAAACTGACAATCAGTACTGTACAGTCCTAACGTCTGAATCACAAAAGTTAATGAAAATGAGAATTAATGAACCCCTAATCTTCTTCTTCTTCTAAGTTAATATTTGTTCCAAACTTTGCATAAAGTTGAACTTTAAGATCTTGAAGAGTTTTCTTATGTTCCGTCGCTCGTTTTTCCAATGTCTCCATGTGTTCACGAGTGGCCTGTTTGGCCTTCTCCAGCATGCTGTTTGTCTCGTCGGAATCTACGCTGATAAAAACCTCGCCAACTTGGTATGTATAAACAGTTAAGGAGAACTTTGTAAGATTTATTACTTGATACATGTTAAGTGAAATATCAGTTATCATGAGTTATGATATAACTTGTTTAAGTTGAAGATTATTTACCTGATAAAAGTTTCTAAGTCTTTTCCCCCATGAATTTATCTCCTATAAAACTAAATCACGACAGATTTAAGACATTAAAGTACAACGTATATTAAGCCTTTACCCTGCATAGAGCCAGGCCATCCTGCACATCTGTGCTGTGTGACCAGGTTCTATACTGAGCTACTTGAAATTTTAACTTCATATCCCCAAAATTGATAATGAATTGTTCCGAAACTGAAAGATGGACAAGTTCATTTAAGAAATTCAGCAAGTTAAGGTTTAAGTTACTTAGCAGGGTAATGTATATTGTACAATACTGAAAATGGAACAGGCCAGATGAAGTAACAATCGACCTGCATTTAACCTATATTTAATAGTTTCCTTAGCATTAAAATGATTAGTTGATGGATTGTGGCTTACATATCTTAAGTATTACTGACAATATTGAGCATCTTACCCAGTTAAAAAGGTTCATTTGGAACTTTCATTTGTGCTCCGGTCTTTACTTTAAGGATTGCTCTGCACTGTATACTTGTAAATACTGTAATTGAGAGCCCACAGTAGCAACATACAGTGAATATTCATTATAAACCCTAACAATTGCAGTATTGTTGTATACTAAATGAAACAATGTTAACATTACCGCAAAATATCCTATTATTAGAACTTATACATTGAAAAAAGGATATGGAATAAGTGAATCGTCACTTTCTAACATCATCAATTCTTCTTCAGCAAATTCAAGATTCTCTAACTCTTTCTGAAAAAGAAGATAAAAATTGTATGATATCAAATACACACAATTTGCCTTTTCATGGTTAGGAACCTGGTTTTTTTTCATGGTTAGGAACCAGTTTTTTTTAAATAACTTTTTTCAGGAGATTTCCAGTATTCCTGGATTCTGTAATAACCTGTTTTCATGAAACATATGCCATTATCTCTCAACAACTTTTTTGAGAGACTACAGTCATGTAAGTTGCTGTGAACACACTGTTTTCCACCATGGTTTTAAATAAAGATGTATTTTACTGAAATCATGGAAACAGGTATGAAAGCGAAAAATAGATAACTTATAGATAAGTGATCAATAAATTTATTCATTGTCGATATTTGTCATCCAATACTGACATCATGGATTATGCTTTGGACTGGATCAATGACAGCTCTTTTACTATGAGACTGTACATTTCATTCATTACCATGCCAAATATCTAAAATGGACTTGTCTATCTTTCAATGTGAACATAAACCATTCATCCTTTTTAGGGAAAATTTCAAACATGTACTGACCAACAGTGTAAACTATGATCAGATGGCACGGAGGTTCCAGGTGATTTTGGTCTGCACTGGTCCTAAGTCATTTTCCATTTTCCACAAACAGGCTAAGGGTTAACATCTAAATTTAATCTTAATATTCATTTTTCTCTCATTTTATATTCAGGATAAAGACTAGTAGAACTCTTTCAAATTGAATTAAAAAAAAAATATGAAAAAATACAATTTTATTATAGAAAACCTTCTTTGCTTTTAACTCTTCTTTAATATCTTGTAATTTGGAATTGTTCCTTGCAAATTTGTTAATCTTCTGTTGATCCTCAAAAGTGACTTGAGCATCAGCATCCTGAAATATTAATAATAAAAAAATATTCATTAATAGTGAGCTCGACAAGCTGGCCCAAAGGGCCTGCTCCCAAAGCGAGCTTTGCTGTAACGTGAGTACCTGCTAATTAAGTGATTGTTTTTGAAAACTTTTGTCCGAAGTATTGCAAATTTTTCGAATTACAAGATAACGATAAAAGCCAACGCACTCTTATTGAAAATGGAAGCGTAGATCGGTGTTCTCCGCACTTATATAGGAAAAAATAATAGAAAGGGGAACCAGTATAAACAGGTTTGCAGTGTATAAAATGCGGAATGACAATTTTAAAAAGGAAAATGTAAAATAGCACATCTCAATGTGTAGTACACTTAGTTGGACTACCAGGATCTTTGCAACATTAAGCATGGGCAGCTTTTGAAATTTAAATGATATCAAATGACTTTATTTATTTAATTTCCCCCTATCATTTCCATGGCAACTGCAAGTTAAAAATTTGATTTGACAAGAATCTATCGTAAAAATTCACAAAAATTGTTTTCCTTATCAATATCTGAGTTAAAGTAAGTCAGAACATATTGAATATCAATATATATGTTTGTTTTGTTCATAACTCTGTATAAAATTCATTGAGAACTAGAAATGAAATAAACAATTTTAAAAATCACATATTTTCGCGATGTAAGTTAGTTTTGTAGAAATTAAATATTAAGCGAACGTATATTAGGTTATGATACACATTTAAAAGACAATACTTATTCACTGATATTCTACAAAACAAAACTCGTTAACTCAATTTTATTAGACATAAATCTCACCATATCTTTTATGGTGGTGGCCATCTTTCAGCAGAGAAGTGAATTATGAAAATAAATTGTCAAAAATCAAGACTTCGTTATCTTTAAAAAAAACAAAAAAGCCTAGAAAAAAATATTTATGAAATACAATAATTTTAGCGATATGACATATATTTATGTTAATTTTCTTCTATCCTGTCGTGCTGTCAAAATGGAGGCCAACGTGATAAAAATTTCTGCACTCTTTCTTCTTTATGCAGGTTTGTTGTCAGTTTTTAGAATTTTGTCATGCAACTTTTGCAGTTTATTCAGATAAACATATCTTTTATTTATTTTACAGGTTTCATTGCTGTTACGCACGCAGCAGTTCCAGATTTGGACGAAAGGTAGGAGCTAATTTGTGTTTTTGTTGCATACTTGATTTCGGATACTGACATATTTTCGGATATTGGTTGGCACAATAGCTTTTTAAAGTGCTATAAGGATTTGTTAGGACCATAAAGTAGCTCGGCACTATCATAAAATAGATTGACAGTCATTTTTAGCTTGACTATTTGAGAAAATGGAGAGCTAGTGTACCCACGCATGCATAACTGACAATTAGATTTTTCTTGTTCACACATCTGCATGATTTGATATAAATTTTTAAAAATGCAAGTAAACATCAAGCGTTTAAACGAAAAATACTGACTAATCCCTCAAACCCCCACCCACTCCCTCATATAAGCCTAGACCCCTTTTCGTACCTAACAAAAGCGAGAAAAAAAAAACATTTTAGAGTGTGACTTAACACCTGTTTGTAGTACCGTGTTCATGAATACCATCACACTTCAGAAGCTAACAACAAATGTTAAAAACTGTCGACTAGATAATTGTGTATAACCCTAGGTATAATTCTTAAATTATTTTGCTCATTTAAAAAAAGAGTTTAATTAAATATTTTAGTTTTTATTGTTTTTCGTGTTTTTTTTCTCTCCAGATTTTTAGAAGTACACAAACAAGGGAAATGGCTGATTGAGGTAACTATATAATTATACCTTGATTAAAATTGATTATACCCATACCAATAATAAAGCCATTTAATAAAAAACGATATTACACTAGACGATATATCACTAGTGTAGTAACACTTTGGCGTGATGTCATTTGCACTAAAAACATAGCATTAAAGCGCGCTGTTTTATGTTTGGTTTATTTTGTTGTGGATGCAGAGAATAGGAGATGTTGATACTATGAGTTTATTTCTAAGACTGTTTAACAATATGTAGTCAATATGTCAGTACACTAAGTAGACGGAACCTAACAATCCAGTTTAAAGGTACTGCATGCTATATATATTTAATGTAGCATTAAATATGAAACAATATATATTTAATGTAGAATTAAATATGAAACACAAATGTTAGCGTTACACTATAGGCGCGTCAAATAAAAATGACTTTTGTTAACAGTTTACTGTTTTTATTTCATATATGATGTGATATATTCTTGTATATTCAATACTTAATTTATTGAAATCGTTTAATCAAACAATATGATTTTATTCAACTCGTTCAATAAATTTAGTTTTAAACCTAAACTCATTCAATATCCTCTATGTAGATAAGTATCTGATATTTTTATGGAGATAATTCAGTAATGCATTTAGTATTACAAAAACAATAATTTGTGTTTTGTAATAGAAAAAATTGCAGAAAATTGTGATTATTTGCACAGGGTCACAAATTTCCATTTAATTACTTTATACTTTAGATTTAAGTTTACTTAAGGCAGGAGTGAAAATATACCTTTTTAGCTCATCCTTTTGGGCTAGCTCAGGGTGAGCTTTTAGGATCGTTGAATGTTCGTCGTCTGTCATCCGTCAACACTTGTTTGTTTACACTCTAGCGGTCACATTTTTGCCTCAATCATCAAACTTGGTCAGGTAGGTAATAGCTCGGATGAGTTCGAACATGGGTCATCTCGGATGAAAAACTAGGTCACAGGAGCTAAAAATAGAAAAACCTTGTTTGTTAACACTCTAGCGGTCACATTTTTGACTCAATCATCATCAAAATTGGTCAGGATGCTTGTCTCAGTAATTGCTGGAATGAGTTTGAACATGGGTCAACTCAGAATGATGAAAAACTAGATCACAGGAGCTAAATATAGAAAAACCTTGTTAACACTCTAGCAGTCACAATTTTATCTCAATCATCATCTTACTTGGTCAGGATCTTTATCTAGGTAATAGCGTGAATGAGTTTGAACAAGGATCATCTTGGTTGAAAAACTAGGTCACAAGAGCTAAAAATAGAAAAACCTTGTTAACACTCTAGCGGTCACATTTTTGACTCGATCATCATCAAACATGGTCAGGATGCTTTTCTAAGTAATAGTTTTGATGAGTTCGAACATGGGTTAACTGGGATGAAAAACTAGGTCACAGGAACTAGAAATAGAAAAACCTTGTTAACACTCTAGTCTGGTCACATTTTTGACTCATTTATCATCAAACTTGTTCAGGATGCTTGTCTAGGTAAATGCTCCGATGAGTTCAAACATGGGTCATCTCGGATGAAAAACTAGGTCACAGGAGCTAAAAATAGAAAAATCTTGTTAACACTCTAGTTGCTACTGTTTTGATCCATGTACAGACTCAATCAAAACAAGTCTGAAATTCTCTTGTAATTTTATGGTGATTAATGCTTCCATGGGATCATTTTTTTTCCAGATTTTGATCCAAATATCCTAGAAATTTGCCTTAAAGTTTGTTTTGATGATTTCTAGATCAAATTCGAATATGGGTCACCTGAGGTCAAAAACTAGGTCACACTGCCCAAATATGGAAAAACCTTGTTTACACTCTAGTGGTCACATTTTTGACTCAATTATCATCAAACTTGATCAGGATGCTTGTCTAGGTAATTGCTTGAATGAGTTTGAACATGGTACATCTCGGATGAAAAACTAGGTCACAGGAGCTAAGAATAGAAAAACCTTGTTAACACTCTAGTGGTTACTGTTATGATCCAAGTATCTCGGAAATTGGTCTGAAAGTATGTTTTGATGATTTCTAGGTCAAGTCCGAATATGGGTCACCTGTGTTCAAAAACTAGGTCACACTGCCCAAATATGGAAAAACCTTGTTAACACTCTAGTGGTCACATTTTTGACTCAGTTATCATCAAACTTGGTCCAGATGCTTGTCTAGATACTTGCTCAGATGACTTTGAACATTGGTCATCTTGAATGAAAAACTAAGTCACAGGAACAAAAAATAAAAAAATTTCGTTAACGCTCTAGTGGCTACTGTTTTAATCCAAATATCTTGGAAATTGGTCTGAAAGTTAGTTTTATATGATTTCTAGGTCAAGTTTGAATATGGGTCACCTGGGGTCAAAATCTTGGTCACACTGCTCAAATATGGATAATCCTTGTTAACACTGTAGTGGTCACATTTTTAGCTCGACTATACGAAGTAAATGGAGAGCTGTCCTACTCGCCCCGGCGTCGGCGTCCGCGTCCAGATTTTAGATTAAAGTTTTGGTGCAGTAAAATATTTTTCACTATAACTTTGTCATTTCTTAAGGTATCAACTTCAAACTTCAAATATATGTTCCTTATCATCAACCACATCTTATGTGACAAGGTTCATAACTCTAGCACCAATATTTTCAGATTTATCTCCCCTTGAACTTAAAATTGTCCTCAAAAAATACTATTTCTTACTGTTTCTTCCTTATTTCTTAAGGGATCAACCTCATACTTCAAATATATGTACCTTATCATCATCCCCATCTTATGTGACAAGGTTCATAACTCTAGCACCAATATTTTCAGATTTATCTCCCCTTAAACTTAGAATTTTCCTCAAAAAATACTATTCTTAATGTTTCTTCTTTATTTCTTAAGGGATCAACCTCATACTTCAAATATATTTACGTTATCATCATCCCCATCTTATGTGACAAAGTTCATAACTCTAGCACCAATATTTCCAGATTTATCTCCCTTTAAACTTAGAATTTTCCATACAAAATATTATTTTTTTACTGTAACTTATTTATTTCTATAGGGATCAACTTCATACTTCAAATATATTTACGTTATCATCATCCACATCTTATGTGACAAGGTTCATAACTCTAGCACCAATATTGCAAGAATTATCTCCCCATAAACTTAGATTTATTACTAGAAAAATGTTATTTTTTATTTTAACTTTTTTATTTTTAAAGGTATCTACCTCAAACTTCAAATACTTATTCCTTATCATCAATTACATTTTATGTGACAATGTTCATAACTCTTGAAGCAATATTTACAGATTTATCTCTCTTTGAACTTAGGATTTTCTTTAAGAAATATAATAACTTCTTTATTTTTTAAGGTATCTACTTCAAACTTCAAATATATATTTCTTATCATTACACAAATGTTGTGTGGCAAGGTCCATAACTCTAGCATGACTATTTCTAGAATTATTTCCCTTGATCTTGGAATTTATGTGAACAAATGTTATTTTTTTTACTATAACTTAATACATAATTATACATAATTGATTTTTATTTCATAGTTTTGTCCTCCTTACTGCGTCCAGTATTTTATTTGTCGAGCTTCGCTGTCTCCTGTGACAGCTCTTGTTGACTCACCTGTCATGAAACTAGGTTTGAGAATACTTGTCTAGGTAATTGTTTGGATGAGTTCGATGGGTCAGGTGAGCGATCTAGGGTCATCTTAGCCCTCTTGTCATGATAGAAGTACGGCCCATTTCCGATATGAAAAATGCATTCCAGAAAAATACCCACTTATGTTCCATAATAAGATGACTGAAAGGTCAATCACTGCTACAAAAAAATCTGTACTTTTCCAGTTTTATGCCCCTTGGTGTGGTCACTGTAAGAAATTGGAGCCTATATTTAACAAGGTTCACAACACCCTTAGAAATTCTGATGTCAGAGTGGCTAAAATTGATGCCACAAGATATTCGTCTGTCTCATCCAAATTTGATGTAAGAGGGTTTCCAACAATTAAATTGTAAGTAGCATTATTTTTATGCCACCGCAGCATCTGCGATGCGGTGGCATATAGCGATTCACCTGTGTGTGTGTTTGTTTGTGTGTGTGTGTGTTATATAGATTATATAGTGAACTTAAAAAATCTTCTTGTGAAAAACCACTAGTCCAATTTCAACCAAACTTGGCAGGATTGATCCTTGGGTGAAGGGCTTCCAAAGTTGTTCAAAGAATTTCATTCCATGCAGAAATCTGGTTGCCATGGCAACCAAAAGGTATTATAAGAATAAATTTAAAAAATCTTCTTGTAAAGACCCAAAAGGCCTAGAGCTTAGATATTTTGCATAAGGCATTGTCTGGTAGACCTCTACCAAGATTGTTCAAATTATAGCCTTGGGGTCAAAATTGGTATTATAAGAATAAATTTAAAAAATCTTCTTGTAAAGACCCAAAAGGCCTAGAGCTTAGATATTTTGCATAAGGCATTGTCTGGTAGACCTCTACCAAGATTGTTCAAATTATAGCCTTGGGGTCAAAATTGGCCCCGCCCCGGGGTCATTGATTTTCACTATATATACATATAGTAAAAACTTAAAATACCTTCTTGTAAAGACCCAAAAGGCCTAGAGCTTAGATATTATGCATAAGGCATTGTCTGGTAGACCCTTACCAGATTGTTCAAATTATAGCCCTGGAGCCAAAATCAGCCCCGCCCTGGGGGTCATTGATTTTCACTATATGTACATATAGTAAAAACTTAAAATACCTTCTTGTAAAGACCCAAAAGGCCTAGAGCTTAGATATTTTGCATAAGGCATTGTCAGGTAGACTTCTACCCAGATTGTTAAAATTATAGCCCTGGGGTCAAAATCGGCCCCGCCCCGGGGGTCATTGGTTTCCTTATATGTATATAGTAAAAACTTAAAAAAATTTCTTCTAGCAACTGACAAATGCTAGAGGTTAGATATTTTGCATGAACATTGTGAAGTGAACTTCTAGCAAGATTGGTCAAATTATAGCTCTTGGGTCAAATTTGCCCCCACCTCGGGGGTCATTGATTTTCAATATATACATATAGTAAAAAATCAAAAATCTTATTGTCTGAAAGTACAAGGCTTAGAGCTTTAATATTTGTTAAATGATTTCATCTATAGGTACTCTACGAAAGTTGTTCAAATTTTGCGTCTTGGTCAAAATTAGCCACGCCCTTGGGGCTATAGGTTTTCCTTATATGGAACCTTTACCAAGATTGTTCAAATTATAATTGTTTGGTGGACCTGTATCAAGATTGTTTTGAATTAAATCTGATAATAGGAATCAGATAGGCCAGGCATCTATGCATTATGACAATCTTCAAAATTGTATAGAAACCAAAAAAATCTGTTCCTACACTACTATTTAGTGTTGTATTAATGCGGTGGCATAGCATTTTTCTCAAATGCAGTCTTGTTTTATATTATCATATTTTTGACAGGTTATATTTTTATATGGCCCAGAATCAACAGTGGCATTTTATATAACCTGAGCTTAAAAATGTGAATTAACCCTCTATTACTGCCATTGAGATAATTAAATATCTAGTATATAATGTTTGATTGTCCATTTTCAGCCATAATTTTAGTTAAGTGCTCGCCAATTTTTTTAAGCTAATCACCGACGAGGATTTTTAGAATATTCAGGTTTCAAATCTTAATAGAACAAATTTTATATAAACTCGATGTTTTATATTATAAAACGCAAGTGGGCGGAGCACTTAGCCGGTTAGAGTGCATATTGGATGTTCTTCATAAATAAGAAAGCTACAGTTGCTTCACAAGCTCTGCTTCTTTTTAACTTTCTTATTTACGAAGAACACCCAGTATGCTTTCTAACCTATACATATTAAATTTTGTAGAAAGAAAAAAACCCTGAAGAATTGTTTCTGTTTTATAAAATGTATGTGAATTTTATGTTTACAAATTTATAAAGTGTACTGATTTAGGGGGAAAATAATCTTATGTCAGTCACCATATATTTGATTGTAAAACTTAATGTTTGAAATAAAAAGGGCATAAGATAATAAGAAAATTATATAATATTTTACAGTTTTGATGGAGACAAAGTTCATAATTTCCGTGGTGAGAGAACAGCTTCAGATATCCTAGAATTTGTAAATAAAGCTAAAGGGTAAGTTACATAGTGTAAGGTACTGAAATATACCTTGTCATAATATATACCAGACATGCAATGAATGTTTTGACATTATTTTACCAAATCCCTCGGACTGGCAATTAATGTTTTGACATTAACAATTCATCAGAGTTGCATTTAATGTTTTGACAGTAACAATCCCTAAGACTTTCATTTAAAGATCCTGTAACACAATTTTTTCAGGGTTTTATTTCATAAATATGATGCTCAAATTAAGATTTGTCAATATTGTAAGTTCAAATAAGCATTATTTATAAAGATATTGCCCAATTTAACATTTCATGTAAATAAAGGGAGGTAATTAGAAAATTATTTTCTATAAACTCTAAGTCAAATTTTCCAATAAGAAATGATTGCATGTAATTTATTGATTAAATATAATATGCACAAATATTTGCAGTACACACTTTACATATTCTTTGATGTTTGAAAATTGTTTTATTTGCATAATTATTATACATTTATTACTTTTTGCAACTGTGGTATACACACAGTAACAATATCAATCACAAAACATACAGGATCTTTAATGTTTTGACATAAACAATCCCTCAGACTTACAATAAATGTTTTGACATAAACAATCCCTCAGACTTGCAATTAATGCTTTCACATTAACAATCCCTCAGACTTGTAGTTAATGTTTTGACATAAGCAATCCCTCAGAATTTGCAATAAATGTTTTGCCGTTCGCAATCCATTAGACTTGCAATTAATGTTTTGACATTAACAATTCCTCAGACGTGCAATTAATTTTTTGACATTAACAATCCCTCAGACTTGCAATTAATGTTTTGACATTTACAATCCCTCAGACTTGCAATTAATGTTTTGACATTAACAACCCCTTAGACTTGAAATGAATGTTTTGACATTGACAATCCCTCAAACTTGCAATAAATGTTTTGACATGAACAATCCCTCAGTCTCGTAATTAATGTTTTAACATTAACAATCCCTCAGACTTGCAATTAAGTTTTTGACATTAATAATCCCTCAGACTTGCAATTAATGTTTTGACAAAAACAATCCCTTAGACTTACAATATAGGTTTTGACATTAACGATAACTCAGACTTGTAATTTCAAAGGAAAACAAGTACTTTATACAATATAAGTTGGGTAAAGATTAATTTCAATTTTGAAAATTTTTTGATATGGTTTGATGCTTTTTCTTTGCTGCTTAATTGCTTCAGTAAGTTTAGTATAGAAAGGCTAAAATTTTGGAAAATGTAAAGTAATGTTTTTATAATGTGATCGTATCTCTTTCAGACCAACTGTACGACGTATATCAAGTATAGGAAAGTTTAATGAGATACGTAGTGATCTTTCAGATGGTGTGTTTTATATGTATGTTGGTGATGATGACCCTTCAAATGACCTTTTTGTAAGTATATATATTTTTCACATTTTCAATGGTTGCTATGGTGAATTGACTTCTTATTTTCATTTTTCTGCTCTTTGATAAAAAGGGAGAGAAGTCGAACTTAATAGATGTCTGTGTCAAGATTTCTGATAAACTTTTTGTTTTAAAAAGAAATTCCAACTTAAGCTTTTAAGATTTTTTTGTTGCAGGTAATTAAAAATTTTCAGCATTGAAAGAATTTTCATTTCTATTTCAGAGCAAGTATTCAAGTATTGCAACAGATCAAGTTTCATTAGCATATTTCTATACTGGACCAAAGAAAGCATTGCCTGAAGTAAGTCTTTGTATATTTTTCTACAATTTGTCTGTCCACAAAAAGTCATGTTCCTTTAAAAACATCTTTGTTTGCTTGGACTGCCTTGTTTTCCGGATATTCCCATAAGTGCTGGAAAATGCTTTATATATTTTCATTTAGATGTTATTATGAACGCTGTAAATTAAGATGGTTCCACTAGAAAATAATGCTTAAATATACTCATTAATATCATTTGTTATTTAACCCCTTGAGGTCACATGCCTTACATAAGGTGGATACAATGGTGTGTGTTTTAGTCAGGTTTATTTTCCTTATCCTTACAATATTATTTTTTAACAGGAACTGCCTTGCTACAATATTTTAGCAAATGTTTATTTATACCAAATGCTTTAAAGTTCTTAAGGAAGAAGAAGTAAGGATGTTTTTTCCCCTTTACTATTCATTATTTTGATGAAATCGCCCCATTAAAGCAAAAAGGTACCAAGTGACATTTTCATGTTTTCGAAAAAATCACGTTTAAAGATTTGAAGTTCCATATCAAATCAGGTTTTTACAACAAGGCAATGAAACTTCACATATATTTAGATAATATTTTAATGTACATGCTCAAAAAGTTGGAAAGCTTATATATTACTAATTAGTGATAATTAATCAATTAAAGGAAATTGTTCCTTTTTGCACTTATCAATATTTTGACCGACAAATGCAAGAAGGTACCATATGAACGCTTGGTTCCTTTTTGCATTGTATGATTTTTAACATTTGCTGTCAAATATATGAAAAGAAGGTACCATATGGCAGTTGGCACCTTTTTGTCCCAACAATATTAACAAAAAGCATCATTTGGTTACAATTTTATTCTACAATCATACCAATAATAATATGAAATTCTTGTGTTTTCAGTAAATGTCTGCAACAACTATCACACTGCATGTTTTGAAAGTCTTCCTCTGTGATCAATCTCAATGCCTATGTCAAAATCTCTTACATTGTTAGTCAAAATCAGAATAATTTTCATCCGATTCCATTGTGACATAATCCTTTTCTTTCCTTTATGTTGGTTAAGTGGCATTATAATTATGGAACTCTTTTTGGATAATTTTCTTTGCACACAAAGTAACCAAGTTATTTTTCTTTTGAATAGAAACTGGAGGTTTGGTATCATAACTTCATATATTGTTCAACATTTGTCCACTAATACTTTAGATTCTGTATTCTGAACTACTATTTCCATAAAATCTTCAGCATTAAAGCTCTTATTTACAAATACTGACTTTGGGCTTTCCTTTGGTACCTGTATCCATTCCACTTGTAGCCAGTTTACTCTTTGTCGGTCAATGGATGTTTTGAGTCTCGGACACTGTTTTTTAATGAAGTATTTGAAATCAAAAACATGGTTATATTTCATTGGCACAGCAAAGTATGGCTGCGATTTTCTGGCCAGTGATAAAAGAGAACACAACTGAATGATACATAATTATACAGGAATTATTTTCTTTGCCCCTTCAAGAGTAAAGTTGTCACTCCATCTATGAGTGACCCGATACAAGAAATTTGTGATCAATCTTAAACTTGGAACTTGTGATAATATAAAAGAAGAGACGCAGCTATGAATCAATTTCTGTTTTGTCCCCCGTATGAATCTGAAAAATATATGATAATGACTTATTTGACATAACCACTTTGGCAAGTAGAAAAGGGTTTTTTATTAAGCAGGAAGATATTTCACATGCCTGTCTTTGCAGTTGGTTTTATCCCATACATGACTGCAACATTTTTGTGTCATAAGGAATATATTGTCAAGTTGTGTAGCAACAGAGTTTTCTTAAATAGTAAAGCTCACTCACTAATGAGCAAGGGGTTGTTACAACGGCTTTGAGATTAAAACATGCAACATAAACGCATGTGTCACCTTTTGCTCCAACTTTGTTTTAAATCTTTTGTTCTTGTGAATTTTCTTTCTGTTTTTGATGTTCAATATATTGTTCCTTGATCGTGTCATCTAGTGTGCCTACTGCCTTCCTATATGTATGTTGCTTAACAGGTTTTAATTCCTTCTTTTCACTTTCAATAGTTTACAGATTCCACATCTTTTTAATGTTTAAGTCATAGTCATGAGATAGGTATTGTTTCTTTCAGTTTTTATGCTCCCCGAAAAATTTCGGGGGAGCATATAGTCGGCGCCTTGTCCGTCTGTCCGTCTGTCCGTCCGTTGTCTTGTCCGGAGCATAACTTGAAAACCCTTGGAGATAATTTGTTGAAACTTCATACAGTGGTAGAGGGCATCGAGGGGGAGTGCAGTGTCAAAGAACCATAACTCTATTTTGCCCGGTTTTTGAATTATCTCCCCTTATAGAAAAATCTTGTCCAGGGCATAACTCTAAAACTATAAGAGATATCAACATGAAACTTTGTAGGTGAATAGATCTCAATGCGTAGATGTGCAGTGCATAAGAACAATAACTTTTTTTCCTAATTTTGGAGTTATTGCCCTTTGTTAATTTTAATACTTTGAACTTTGTCCGGAGCATAACTTGAAAACCCTTGGAGATAATTTGTTGAAACTTCATACAGTGGTAGAGGGCATCGAGGGGGAGTGCAGTGTCAAAGAACCATAACTCTATTTTGCCCGGTTTTTGAATTATCTCCCCTTATAGAAAAATCTTGTCCGGGGCATAACTCTAAAACTATAAGAGATATCAACATGAAACTTTGTAGGTGAATAGATCTCAATGCGTAGATGTGCAGTGCATAAGAACAATAACTCTTTTTATCCTAATTTTGGAGTTATTGCCCTTTGTTTATTTTAATACTTTGAACTTTGTCCGGAACATAACTTGAAAACCCTTGGAGATAATTTGTTGAAACTTCATACAGTGGTAGAGGGCATCGAGGGGGAGTGCAGTGTCAAAGAACCATAACTCTATTTTGCCCGGTTTTTGAATTACCTCCCCTTGTAGAAAAATCTTGTCCGGGGCATAACTCTAAAACTATAAGAGATATCAACATGAAACTTTGTAGGTGAATAGATCTCAATGGATAGATGTGCAGTGCAACAGAACCATAACTCTGTTAAGCCTTATTTTTGAATAATCTCCCCTTTTAGAAAAATCTTGTCCAGGACATAGCTGTAAAACTATAAGAGATATCAACATGAAACTTTGTAGGTAGATAAATCTCAATGGGTAGATGTGCAGTGCACAAGAATCATAACTCTACCTTGCCTAATTCTGGAGTTATTGCCCTTTGTTTATTTTTACTTTTTGAATTGTCCAGGACATCATAAGAGATATCATCAAGAAACTTTGTAAGTTGATAGATCACATTGATTAGAAGTGCAGTGCAAAAAACTGTAACAGCCTTGCCTAATTTTGGAATTATTGCACTTTGAACTTTTTCCACGGACATAACTCTGAAACTACAAGAGGTGTACTTTCCTGTGTCCAAAACCTATTCGGGGAGCATCACCCAGCTCAAACCGGCCTCTTGTTTTATTGTATTATGAGATTCCATTTTAGGAAATTACTCTTTATGCTGGTTCACCAATTTAACTTTATCATAATCTAGTTTATTTGCAGATGTACACTTCCCTTTCATATACCCCATGTATCTTGTTGGCAAGAGTACAATCAATTACTTTTCTTTTTACGTCCACATTTTTGTGAAGAAGTCATTTATACACTATCATTATCTTCACACTGTTATCATTCCTCAATTTAAAACAGAAACAATACTCTGGGATTTATTGTTATATTTGATGTCCTTAGCAACATCTAGATTGTGTTTTCATTAAAAAGCTAAAAGGTACCAAGCAAACAATTTAATATATAAAATAATCTTAAGGGTCGTAAATTCTTTGTGTGCAGAAAGGGACCATGTGACACATGGTTCCTTTTTGCATTAAAATAAATGCTCAAAACATATATAGTCATACAATGCAAAAAGGTACTATGTGACACTTGGTACCTTTTTGCTCAAACTGATATGCATATGGTACCTTTTTGCATTACTAAATGGGAAAATATTGACATAGTACCTTTTTACATAACCTTATATGTCTGTAAATAAACATGATACTACTGAGATATTTCTACAGATTAAAGATAACATTAAAACTGAAATGAAAAATGTTAAAAAGTCATTTTTGGCTTGGTACCTTTTTGCTTTAATGGGGCGAAATAATGTCAGAAATTACAATGTTTTTCTTCTTCTTTTTTTTATACAGGACATACAAAAAGATCTAGCTGTGTTACCAACAATTCTGGTATTTAAAGATAAAACAGTATATCAGTATGAAGGTGGGTAATTAGTTAGTTGAAGTTGAAGTTCACTTAACCTTTATAGTCCTGATATAACCCATATTATGTTGGTGTGACTAGATTCCCTTAACTGTTACTGAAAAAAAATTAAGTTGTGAAAGCGGCCTTCGGCTTTTCTGAAGGTTAAATATGTTACTTTTAGATAAATCGTTTTATATACTTGTCAAATCAAAAGAATTAAGGTGGAAAATGAAATTTACCGACAATAGGATACATAATAAATAAGGAAGCCCCTCTATATCTCTAATGTACTGGGCCACTTTCTATATTTAAATTAGTAAAGAGGATTATTCAATCGCCAATCTTCTATTCGTCTCTGATGAGCTATAAATAGCTTTCAGGACACTGATTTGAAGAAAGCTTAACAGTGATATGATGCGCTTTCCAAAATAAAATTACTGAAATACTTATAGTTTGAAACAACAGATAATTGTCTTTTCCAACAGAAAATAAAAGCTAAAGGCAACCTTAATACACAGCTTGAAGAACTTGGAATGCCAATCTTACTTTTTCACTTCAAATCAGTCTTTGTGAAAAAAATATAAATATATGTAAACAGTAAGAAAATGATTTGACAAAAATGTTTAGTGTGGAAAAGTCAGAAATAACATATCATAACTAGAACTGGATTAAAATTGTCTGGACAAAGAAGAGTCTGGATTAGTAAGATTTCACTGTACATAAATTACCTTTGGTTTATATTTGTACTAAAGTTTATTCATTTTATTAGTTTTATTTCAGAAATTATTTTATCAGTTTTGCACGATGCTAACAACTAGAAATTCCTGAATATTAATTACAAACAAGTTATGTAAACTCTCCTCCCTTCATAATTAAATGATCATGTCAGCTTGACATGCATGGATCGTGCTTGAAAATTATTTTTATTGATATTTTAAAAGGGTTTTTGCAATTTTCTTGGTAGTAAATGTAATTTTAACTGGGAATTAAGGAGATTTTGATGTAAGGCTGGATTTTAATTTTTTTGTGTCCTTAAGTGAAGCATAAATAATATGTATTTAATGTAAGACACCATCTGTTTTAAATTCAGAATTTCAATAAAATTTCTACGAGAATTATCAGTGCCTGACATAAAGTTATGTTTGTTATCCTATTTTGACAGATTTATTGCTACTTTATATGAGCCATGTCACGACAAAACCAACATAGTGGGTTTGCGACCAGCATGGATTCAGACCAGGGTGCGCATCCGCGCAGTCTGATCAGGATCCATGCTGTTCGCTATCACTTTCTCTACTTGTAATAGAGTTGTTAAGCGAACAGCATGGATCCTGAGCAGACTGCGCGGATGCGCAGGCTGGTCTGGATCCATTCCTGTTGCAAACGCATTACGTTGGTTTTGTCATGACACGGCTCAATTATATCTTTTAGAATACAGAATGATTTAAACAATATCTCTTTTTGATGAGAAATTGCTTGACAATGGATTACACCCATTTAGGGACTTTAGTGAATAACCTCCCCTGACTCAGTACTCAGGTCCCAAGCTATTGGATAACTCCGACTTTATCGCCTATTTCTTTGTAGCAAACTAAATTAATTAGGGCTAATTATGATCATTTGTAATATTCAGATTTAATTTTGCGATAAGATGTAGAATCTGTTGACATAAATAAAACATTTTTTTCTTAAGGTTTACATATTTGTTGATGCATGTGGATATAATTGATTAAGACATATCAACCTGTCTTACATAAAACTCAACGATAAAAGCAAAGGATTCCAAATATTTGGACCTAACTTACATTTTGGTTAACCTTGGTTTTTTTTCAAGGGAAGATAATCCACTAAAGTTCCTCATTGTGATGTCAAATTGATGTTAATTTTGCTTACCACCCCACCTTTTCCTATATTCTTTGAGAATTTTGCTTTAAAACTTTAAATACTTTTTAAAGAACATCATTCACATTTTTAGGCAGGGGCACATAACTCTGTCAAATATTTTGACAAAATTATGTCCCTTTTTCAAGTTAGAACTTTGGTTATATTTTCTTACCACCCCACGTTTTCCTATATTCTTCTAGTATTTTGCTTTTTAAAAAAAGACTACTTTTGATTACTATCATTCACATTTTCAGGCAAGAGAAAATAACTCTGTCTATTATTTTGACAAAATTATATCCCCTTTTCAACTTAGAATTGCAGTTAACACTTTTGTATCACCACTCTTATCCCTTCGAAATTTTTTGTACATTGAAAAATTAGCTATATGCTTTCATTTATTTGCATTTTAAGTATATTTTTAGTTTTATTCAAGTATGCACATTATGAATTATGCCTAATAGGAAAAAGAAAATTTAATTTACCTTCCTGCCAACCAACTCATAAGGGAACAGTCAGAAATGACAAACAAACAACTTTTAAAGAATAACTCTGCTCGAATCAAAGTATGCTAATCAAAGCTGTAAAAAATCTATGTTTCTTCTTCATTTCTGAAAATATTTCTGGTATTTTTATAGCACCGAAGAATGTTGCTTCAATGAGTTCAGTGAAAGGATGGATAAATGGAGAACGTTACCCAGCATTCCCTCTCATCACAGGAAGTAATATAAATGAGGTTGCAGATACTGGAAAATTTCTCATGATTTTTGTCATAGACCCAAAAGACAAAGAGAAGAAAACCTTGAACCAAAGGTAAGCTTGAATGATGTAGTGGTGATAAAAGAACTTATCAATGTTGGAAGGGATAGCTTTTTAGCTCATCTGTCACAAAGTGACAGGGTGAGCTTTTGTGATCGCTTTTCGTCCGTCCGTCGTCCGTCCGGCGTCCGTCTGTTGTCCGTCCGTCCGTAAACTTTTGCTTTAAATGACATCTCCTCATAAACCAGTGAGCCAATTTCATCCAAACTTCACAGGAATGTTCCTTTGGTGGTCACCTTTAAAAATTGTTCAAAGAATTTAATTCCATGCAGAACTCTGGTTGCCATGGCAACCAAAAGAAAAAACTTTAAATATCTTTTTTTAAAAAACCATAAGAGCTAGAGCTTAGATATTTGGCATGAAACATCTTCTAGTGAGTGTCTACCAAGTTTGTTCAAATAAAAGCCCTGGGGTCAAAATTGGCCTTGCCCCGGGGTCATTGATTTTCCCTATATGCATAAAGTAAAAACTTAAAAAATCTTCTTTTAAAGAACCGTAAGAGCTAGAGCTAAGATATTTGGCATGAAACATCTTCTAGTGAATGTCTACCAAGTTTGTTCAAATAAAAGCCCTGGGGTCAAAATTGGCCCCGACCCAGGGGGTCATTGATTTTCCCTATATGCATATTGTAAAAACTTAAAAAATCTTCTTTTAAAGAACCCAAAGAGCTAGAGCTACGATATTAAGCATGAAACATCTTCTAGTGAGTGTCTACCAAGTTTGTTCAAATAAAAGCCCTGGGGTCAAAATTGGCCCCGCCCCTGGGGGTCATTGATTTTCCCTATATGCACATAGTAAAAACTTGAAAAATCTTCTTTTAAAGAACCGTAAGAGCTAGAGCTAAGATATTTGGCATGAAACATCTTCTTGTGAATGTCTACCAAGTTTGTTCAAATAAAAGCCCTGGGGTCAAAATTGGCCCCGACCCAGGGGGTCATTGATTTTCCCTATATGCATATAGTAAAAATTTAAAAATCTTCTTTTAAAGAACCCAAAGAGCTAGAGCTAAGATATTAAGCATGAAACATCTTCTAGTGAGTGTCTACCAAGTCTGTTCAAATAAAAGCCCTGGGGTCAAAATTGGCCCCGCCCCGGGGGTCATTGATTTTCCCTAAATGCATATAGTAAAAACTTAAAAAATCTTCTTTTAAAGAACCAAAAGAGCTAGAGCTTAGATATTTGGCATGAAACATCTTCTAGTGAATGTCTACCAAGTTTGTTCAAATAAAAGCCCTGGGGTCAAAATTGACCCCGCCCAAGGGGGTCATAGATTTTTCCTATATGCATATAGTAAAAACTTAAAAAAATTTCTTTTAAAAAACCCAAAGAGCTAGAGCTAAGATATTAAGCATGAAGCATCTTCTAGTGAGTGTCTACCAAGTTTGTTCAAATTAAAGCCCTGGGGTTAAAATTGGCCCAGCCCCGGGGGTCATTGATTTTCCCTATATGCATAAGGTAAAAACTTAAAAAATCTTCTTTTAAAGAACCATAAGAGCTAGAGCTTAGATATTTGGCATGAAACATTTTCTAGTGAATGTCTACCAAGTTTGTTCAAATAAAAGCCCTGGGGTCAAAATTGACCCTGCCCTAGGGGGTCATAGATTTCCCCTATATGAAATTTTAGTAAAAACTTAAAAAATCTTCTTTTAAAGAACCCAAAGAGCTAGAGCTAAGATATTTAGCATGAAACATCTTCTAATGAATGTCTACCAAGTTTGTTCAAATAAAACCTCTTGGGTCAAAATTGGCTCCGCCCCAGGGGGTCATTGATTTTCCCTATATGCATATAGTAAAAACTTAAAAAATCTTCTTTTAAAGAATTCAAAGAGCTAGAGCTAAGATATTTAGCATGAAACATGTTCTAATGGGTGTCTACCAAGTATGTTCAAATAAAAGCCCTTGGGTCAAAACTGGCCCCGCCTGGGGGAGGGGGGGGTCATTGATTTTCCTCATATGTGTAAAGCTAAAACTTAAAAATCTTCTTTGAAAAAACCCAAATAGCTAGAGTTTAGATATTAAGCATGAATCATCTTTAAGTAAATATCTACAAAGTTTGTTAAAATAAACGCCCGGGGGTCAAAACTGGCCCTGCCCCAGGGGTGACATTGTTTTTAACTATATGTGTATAGTAAAAACTTTAAAAATCTTCTTTTAAAAATGCCAATGAGCTAGAACTTAGATGTTCAGCATGAAACATCTTCTTATGGGTGTCTACCAAGTCTGTTCAAATAAACAAATAAAAGCCCTTGGGTAAAAATTGGCCCGGGGGTGGGGGGCCTATTTACAGGTGAGCGACCTCAGGGCCATCATGGCCCTCTTGTTTAATAGTAGATTGAGAGCAGATAAGCATTTTTGACTGATGGTAATGGTTCCTGAATTTGAATAATATGCCCCTTACTAATGTAGATTTTAAAGCCTTCAAGGTACATAAATTTATGTCATGTAAGAAAACTACCAAGCTTACTTGAGAAAAGTAGGTGGTTTGTCACACTTGCCAGCATTGTGCATGCAATAGTTTACATTGAGGCATGTATTGTCTTTCTATACCAATAAGTATGCAGAATTTTCTTATGTGTTTAAATAGTGCGACTTAAAGTCTTACAGACAAAATATGTTACCTTAGTGATGTTTTTTATAGTAAATCGTCTTTAATGAAATCATTAATACCCTCCTTTCCCTCAAAAAAATTCCCTCAAACAACAAATGAACGAAATTGGAAATAGAAAACAAAACTTTTTCTTTCATAAGCAGAGAAAAAGAGAATATAAGTTCATTAACATGTTATATGTCCTGTGAATGTCTTATTCAAGTTTTTTTTCGATGCTATGAAACTCTTTCACATGATGGGATTATCATGTAAAGGGAAGCAATGAACGTATTCTGATATTATATATTTTTGAGACAACAAAAATTATCTCCCTTTGAATGTTGCAAAAAGTGTAAGCCTGCAAAGACTTTTAAGTCAAGGAGACATGGCGGTAAGACAGACAAGCTTATATTACAAGTATTGAATGAGGTCACTTAGTGCAAATCTTAAAGGGGCATAATTCTGAGTTATTAAAGGTAGTCTTATTGGACTGCATGTCCATGCAGTCAGACTAAGATCTTTACTGTTGCCAACTCAATATTATTACATTTGTATTAAAGGGACTCAATTGAGTTTTTTTTTTGAGTTTTTTAATCCTTTTCTTACTCATTGTTTCCAGAAAATTTAATTAAATTGTGAAAAATGAAAAGTGTTTTAATAAGTTTTTTTCTCAAATTCACCTACTATGAGTATCTACTATGAGTATTTTCAATTTAATTCTTCATGTATTTCTTTATTGTTTTTGCATAACTTTTTCATTTTATGTGCCTTAATTGACCTAGTAAATACATTCAAATTTTATGTTTGTAGACATCGGACCTCATTGGAGTTCCTTTCATATTATAAATTTGATTTGTAGCATAAAATTGAAAATGGAATGGTCCAAATTGGATCAAGTCGATTATACATAACTACCTGTAGAGGGGAATGAATTAAAACAGCATGGTATACATTCATGCTAAGTTGTACGAAAATTTATAAACTGTGTTTGAATAAAAAATACTGTCAGTTGCACAATGTAAATGAATTAGCTAGTCTAAGGCCCTTACGAGCCATTGAAATTATTTTGTCAAAATATAAAATATTTACAATTTATTATGAGGTAGAAATATGGGGAGAACAGTAGTAAATTCAGTCACAAATTTGCATAAATCATTGTGTCACATGGTTTTCTAAATATTATATTTAGAAAACCATGTGACACATTATTCATATTCTTCTTAACATTTCGATAATGAAATACAGATAGATATTAACTTTGTGTGTTTTGTCATACAGTTGTTCAATGTTCAAAGTCTGCACAGAAAGATATTTTCAAAGGCTATATGCACAAGCAAAAAGTACCTATGCCATTAATTTCAAAACATTTAAAGTACAAACCATGCAATACCAAATCATGATCCAAGGAAAATTAAAATCTATTTCTATTCTTATTAATAATAATGTGCTCATAAAAAAGGTCTAGATTTAAATTTGTTGACCTATATTAAGCTTAGAAGTAATTTCTTGGACATGAATTTGTTTACAGACTTCTCCGGAGATATGATTATTTTTGTTTTATTTTCTCAGCTAAATTGAGGACACAAACAAACTTCTGCAGTTGGCTTTGTGTTTCTGATGTATGTGTGGCTTTTTTCATCTGAAGCACCCAACCATTTATGATAACTTGACACGAGTAATTGTCATGAGTTCTTATAACCCATATTTTAAGGAATTTGACCTTGACCCATAAATGACTGACCTTCTGTATTAATTTCTTGTATTTTTGCTAAAATTGACTCATAGTTGCTATAACTCGGTTTTTAATACTGGTAGCTGTATTTAATTATACATAGACATAATAAGCCTTTAGATAATACTTTCAAGTAGGTTAAACTCAATTTAAACTTTACCTTTAAATGACGTTTACCCTATGGTACAGTTACTGTATTTGCTAAAATTGGCCCAAAACTTTGGTTATCAAAAAAAATGGACAGATTTCATTCATTATAATTTAGGCAAAACAACACTTGAAGACCTCAAAAATGATGTTTACTTTTAAACGTCCTTGACCTTTAAGATCAAATTATTGAATTTGGATGAATTAGGTCATAATTTTGTTATAAATGAATGTATTATATTCATACTTGGGCAACACAATACTTGGAGAAAACTCAAGTATGACCTTAACCTTTGAATTTTTTATCCTCAAAGTCACTTATGAAAATTTATCTAAATATTTAAAATTTTGAAATATATGCACAGGGAATGGGATTAGGGCTGTAATCATTGAAAAATAAGTTTTCTTGAAAGTAACACAAATCTGTTGGTGTGATGCATCTAAAGGTATGCATATTTTTTGCATAATTCAATGATACATAGTTGAACACTAAATTCCAATTTTGAATTTCAACTGTAAAATTTAATGTAAC